AATGTATTACGAGTGAGTACAGGTAACTATATGAAGTCAGAGATGGCACAAAAATAAAAATCATTATTTTTAAAAGGTACATACAAAATACTTATGCTCACTTTCGATTGCATAAAAACTTAGTCTAAATTAAGTCGAGTCTTCCAGTTTTCTTCCCAGTTTAAATACAATCTCGATACATAAGTAAGCCACCGTTTTAGAAAGTTTATCAGGTTTAGGTAAGTACCGACACCCTGTATAAGTATAAAGGGTACTTTTGAGTAAATGAAGTTTAATGTTGGGCTAATAATAAAAAAAATCATAATATGACACAGTAACTATTGAATAGGTACTGTATCATATGATTACTTTAAACTTCTGTGGGCTGGTTCTTTTCTGCATTACAGGGTCCAGTTTGCCTTAAGAATAATACAGTTCCTGATTTAAATTCAATTTAAGGAATCATAATTATTCAATTACCTAGGTTATTTATGAATTAGAATAAATAGAAAAAGAAAAAAATAACATAAATAGTTAGAAGTGGATGTTACATTGTACAGTGGCATAATGTACACAAAGCACCGCTAATTAGTTGCAGCGCTACACATCGACACAACTGTCATTTACACAGTGTACATGTGTGCGTAATTTCATATAACTGTATATAAAAATATTCGTCCACCACGTTCACATTGGTATTTTCATTCTTGTGTCGGTATACGTATTTTTATAATTTAATGCATAGGTAAGGTTAAAACTATTTACAATCATTGATATGACCCGACATTTTCACTGTCATTATCGTAGTGCTCGTGGTCGATTGGTTAATGAGCACGCTTTTATCGTCTTTCAAGGATCAATGATGTGGGTTCTATTCCAGCTAAAAGTTAATTTTATTTTACCTTGTTATTTTTCTTATTTTTTTTTGTTTTTTGTCATAAAATATAAATATCAGGCTATAAAAGAAGCAAATGAGTTGGTAAATAAAACAATACTATTTTTTATTACAATTAATTTATTTATTATACAAATATGTTGTTTTATATTCAATATTTATATCTAATAATTAATTATATACCACATGTTAAGTTTAAAGTTCTTTAAATCATAATTAATAGATATGACAATAAACCTCATAGTCGAATCGGGAAATATCATGCGGTACATCGGTAATACGATGGCAGCAACATTTTTTATTAAGTAGTAATAAACAAATATACAACATTCTTGTTTTGTAATTTAATAATATAATGTATTATTAAATTACAGTTTTACAGTAATAAACAAGTAAAACATGTAAAAAATTACACTGTCAACATAATATTTCTTGAAATGGGCGACTTTTTGTCGTTTGAACTTCCATTAATTATCTATTTTACGACGGTTGTTATAAGGTTCAATATTCAGTGGGCTGTATGATAGTAAAAAGAATGTGACGAATGCTATGGAACGATTTTAACTTTCATGACCTTTAGAATCAGGGAAACTTTAAATTAATTGAAGATGGGCGTAAATATAATATGTCAATCAAGTTCGAAAGCAGTTAAATAAATTTGTTAATGAAAAATTAAAGTGAAGTGAATAAACATGTTGAATAGAAAGAAATTATGACAATTTCTAACCACAAAACAATAACATCACTTCACCGTATGTTCTAGACAGCATTTTAATATTCTTAAAAAAATTAAACATTATTTTATGTTTTTAATAAAGGCAGAGTTTGACAGGCTCAATAATTGATTCCGAAATCAATACAATCACTGATCCTACAAGGCAGAAGGTTGCAATTCGTATACCTTTCTCCATCTTTTCTTCACAATATTTTACGCCCATCCTTATCCGACTTGAAAGTCTTTTCGTCGCTCAATATGATTACACTGTTCGCCCAATCAAAATTAATAAAGTCCTTAGCAAATTCTTAGCGCTTTTGCTGGTGAACCACAGATAACAATATTTTCTTCTCTGGCTTCCTGCACCTTAAACCAGAATGCAGGTGTCTCCGTACAGTTTGTATTAAAACATTCAGTGCTGTCGCTGTAGTGCGGGTTGGCAGGAACGGATCAGCCATGTGCCTGGCTACGATGTCGTAGTGCCGAGCCGATGAATTTGCCTTTGGTTTAGGCCCACGTCGACGATGTTTAACGTCACCGGTCTCCGCATATCTGTGCACCCATAACTGCATGGATCTCCTCTGTTGATACCAAACAAATAAGTATTTAAAATACCAGGAAATACTTTACAGGAATTAAAGTTACTTAAAAATAATAATAAATATAAGTAAACACAATGTTAGAATAATAATTTATAATTAAGTAGTGGCGTAAGGAATAAAAATCCCTAACCAGATATGTTTTAAAGAAACACTCCTAACAAAAACAAGTCAAGTTACAATACAATTAATAATAAATTATTAATATATCTTTATAATATTGAACTTCATAATAAGTTGCAATAATTATTTTATTCTAGTGCAAAAATTGATAGGTGTGTCGAGTTACAAAATGAAATAAATATTATTTAGAATATCAACGTAGTATCTTATTTACTCACCGATATCATTAAACGCCTTGCTATTTCAGTTATTGTTAGTTATGTTTTGCTCATGCAAAACAATGGTTTCAGCCTTTTTAAATGTTGATAGGTGTTGGAACATCTTGTAAAAATAAAAATAACTTTGCACACGAATATAAGTAGTGTAGCAATAAACTATGAAATCCTCATAAATTGACAACTAAGAACGCAATTATTTTGTAAGTCGGGTGATTTGAAAAACATGTTTTAAATAGTCGGTAGTTACTTCATAAGCGTGTAAAATAAAATGACTCGAGATTTCTATGGTCGCCACAAACATTGCAAATATACTCAGGTATCGAACCATTAAGAAATCACAGTTAATTACTTTTTTACTGTTTTTATCTTATTTAAGTTGGTTGAAATGCATGAAGCAAATGAGATTATTCTAAATAATAAATAACTAGAACTAAAATATAAATAAAAGATATTATAGGTATAAATAAATCTAAAGTATTTACTATTAAAATTAACATAAGATTTAGAACAATAGGAAAGGAAAAAAAAGAAAAGATTTAATTGTTTCTAATTTCAAATTTCAAATATTTGATAAATTAATTCTAAAACAACATGTGAATGTTGGAATCGATCCGGCGGCACTTTACTTGACAATTGGAGGCGATAACCATTGCGCCAAGCGCGCTGTAGATGAGGTCATCGAAATATTTTATATCATTCAGTAACATAAAATTACAATGAGAAAGCACTATATTTATATGGGTATTGTATAGCTCGATCGTTCATTATTTTTGATTTCGATTTATTCAAAGTTTGTTATGAGTAATTTTATCTTTACCCTCGTTTTTATTTAAACTTATTTACTAAATTATTGCGTATACCGACACAAAAATGATTTTTAAATACCAAGATGTGTGTGATAGACGATTGTTTCTATACATATCTATTGATATGAAATTACCCACACATGTATATTGTGTAAATGATAGTTGTGTCGATGTGTAGCGCCGCTAACTAATTAGCGGTGCTTTGTGTACACCTCTGCCTACCCCTTCAGAGATAAAAGGCGTGATGTTAAGTATGTATGTATTTATGAATCTACTTATACAAGTTAAGTTTCATTTAAAACAAGGTTTTTGAAACATAAATGGTTTTCTTCTTTTACATAACTGAAACGACAACCAACTTTTAACAAAAAATAAAAGTAATTCAATTAACTGCGCATTGGAAAATAGCAATATCATAAAGAAGCTTTTAAAATGCGATTCTGAACCCAATTGCAATTCAATTAAAATCGTTATTCCAATTACTTATTAAAGTCGAACCGCAATTAAAATTCTAGGCCAAGTTCTCATTAACGTGTAGTGATCGTCTCGGGACGGTAAAGTTTCTTAGCCTTGAGTGACGACACTTAAAGGACCAACTTCCCCTCTACTCTCAATTAAGTAATATCACCTAGCCCTCTAACTAAATGACAATTTAACACACGACGAATGAGTGAATAGAAAAATAAGAAAGACTTTGACACAATTTTGTCGTATATCGGTAATAATCTTGGTAATCTTTATCTTTACTAATATTATAAATCGGAAAGTGAATTTGTTTGTTTGTTTGTTCCGCTTTCACGCCGTAACTACTAAACCGATTGCTTTGAATTTTTGCAGACGTAAAGTTAGAAGTCCGGATTAAATAATAGGGTACTTTTTATCCCGGAAAAATTGATATTCCCGAGGGAAAACAAAAGTATTGATATAGATGGCGCTGTGTGCATTAGTATATGTCACATAGGCTACTTTTTATCCTTTTGTGACGCAAGCGAAGCCGCGGGTAAAAGCTAGTTAAAATATAAGAAAGAAAAGAAAATCCAATTAATTCCAATCCACACGTAAACAAGGTACACACCAAAGGAAGCCAATGGTACGTCGCAGCGCAAAAGGCCGGAGTTCAGTTTAATACTGTAGCTGGGACATGAAAGCTCGAGTCCACGGCGCTGATTTTTAGCACCAGCCCGTATGCTTGTACATCAATGTACACTTACAGTGACACTACTCAATCTACTCCATTGTTCGACTAGTGTTTAAATGCCATTTGTCTAGAGGGTTGCAGTAGCTTAAAAATACCTAACTTATCACATTAGTCACTTATTCATACTTAAATTATGTATATTAACTAAAAATCGCGGATTAATCACGTGAATATCACCGCGACCACGCACGCTGCTCGTGAGGAAGAGCCCCTCTGTGGTTCAAAACTAGTCGAGCTTTTCTCAGTAACCCGTGATTTTTAGTTAATTTAATATGTCTCACGGTAGTTATTATGAAAACAATTATGTATAAATTCTTTTTTTTAACAGGCTGTAGGTTGGGTTCAGTGGTGCGCTACTGAAGAAACATGCGACATTTACTGATCCTCTACCTCTCTCGGCAGTTACAAATCAAACCTTATATCTACAGTTCCAATAAAATTCAATAAACTAATCACAACACATAAAATTACTTTGTTGAGTTCTTGGCTTCCTTTTCTTTGTTCTTTTCTTTATCTTGATTGGCCATCTTTAGCTGGCCATGCTTCCAGTCTTCGGGGTACCCATATTGTCTTACATCGTCCCACCATTGTTGTTTGCCATCCGCCCAGAAGATGTAGACCACATTGGTGCCTACCAGGACGGCGAAGCAAACCCAGAATGCTATCCGCCATTGGGCTAGTGTTGACTGGAAATGAGAATAATGATTTAAAGATTACTATGGAAAACAACCTACGGCTTACCAACGTAATTGTTTGACGAGGAACTGGACTAGCACGGAATGCTGCTTATGATTATGAACCTCTAGCATGGCTTGAAACTAGTCGAGTTCCTCGTTAAACAGTTACGCGAGTATGCCGAACACATAGTAATTAATTTAGTATGTACCACGAAATTTATAATGATTTTAAGTTAATTTATGTTCATGAAAAATGATCCTGGTTCATACTTTAATCAATTAGTCTCCAAGGAGAATAGAAAAATGCTAAAAATATCATGGTTTGTTTGGAAATCAGTGTGCAATATTTGACCATATTTTTGGAAGTTTGTTAGTGATTTTATTATATTTTGACACACTCTTGAGATATGTAAATGAATTATTTTAACGTAACTCATATAACGATCGCTTTAGACTTTAATAGTTTAATAGAACATCATAAGGTCGCTAATCGTAACAACAAGCCCAATGCACTCTGAATAAAAGTTACAGATGGTAATAATTGATTCACTTAACCCATAATAATATCCGATAATTGATTTCATTCGATCTATTAATATCCTTTGGACTGAACAAAGTACAAACAAGATTGAACAAGTTCAAAGACATGGAGTTCGTATTAAAGCCGCAAGCTGAGTTCTTGTCGAAACTTGTCACTGAGTTGAGAATATTTTATTAATAAAGGCCTATCTCCAAAGTTTTAAGAGAAGGCTTCTTTGAAAATTGTTCAGCTCAATTTTATTGGTTTGTTAAAGTTCGTGAATCAGGAAATGACAGTTTTATCGATTATCGTCAGAAACGTGTTGTATTGTTTTTTTTGGAACTATGTAGTAATTTCTGCTTGATCACAAATTCACAAATATTTATCTACAGATTAGTACTCGTTTAAAGTTACTTGTGACTTCATGATGGACGAAATTCCAATATAATATTTTTCTTTACCACAAAAGTAAGAAAAAGCTATCGAAAAATTGAGAGTCTAGTCTATTTTCGTATGATAAGTAGGTACATAAAAGTAATCCATACGATGTTGTTAAGAAAGCTAAGCCGAAAATAGGGTCTTTTATAACTAAATTCTTAGGATCTATCCCAAATAACTTCATCATAAATGTTCTCACAAAGGATTTTGTCAGGATACACTTAAAGTACCCACTTACAATGTATTGCTTTAACAGAAAAGTATAACAAAGAACGCTATTGTTATGAAGAAATCGTTTGATTTTTGCAAAGAGGAGCTATTGTGTATAAAAATTTATGTATTTGTTACGCAAAACTGGCGGATTATGAAGCCATTTTTCAACGACTTCAAACAAATCAGTTTCTTTAAACGTAGTTTATTTTGTTGTTTAAATAATTCAAATACCTTCTTATTTTTAATTAACATTTACCTTTACAACCGCAAATATTGTAGTAACAATTAAAATTGAAGTAATAAAAATAAGGAATTTTCATTCATCGAAAGGTGCTCTAGGGACTTAAATAAGAAAAAAATTCAGATGAAGCTTTTTACAAAACTCCGTTTATGACAATATTATATCGGAAGATAAAATAATATTAGCTACGTTATACACCAAATATTTGGATGCCTTATTACTCGATTATCCGAAAACGTATCGATACTCCCATAAGCAAACCTTTTCTAGTTTTTATTAAAAATATTTTACCCTTATACATATTTCTCTGTTTTTTATCGCGAAAGCGCCAATATTTTACACGTTATCCTTTTGATCTACTCTTTTTTTAAGGCGGGAAAATCATCGAATGGCTGCTCCCACCTGGGTGAGGAGGGAGGGAGTGTCAGACTCTAACTGACCAAAAACCACCTCGTTCTTACTCCTGCACTTCGAGCTGGAGTCCCGGTAACCCGTTAGGTTCTCCGCGACTTTGATCTACACTCTATAGCAGCGTTTTTATCAAGGTTACCAAAACTTCTTTTTTTATTTGGTTAAAACAACATTTTTATACTTACATCAGGAGTTAACAGTCCAATTAAATATGGCGTAATAATTCCAGAGATGGTGGAAGTTCCATTGATCATTGCAGTCAAGGAGCCAGCGTAGTTTGGTGCCAGGTCCAACGCGTTGACCTATAGACAGAGAGGGTTAATACTAAGCACAAACACTGCCAAATGGCTTTCACGTCAGTACATGAAAATTTATGGAAACACGTGGGTGTGGCCTTAAGAACAGTATTGGCACTGTTGTGATCGTTAGCCAGTAAAGAGTACAGTTTTGAATTAGTTTGTACTAGCTTTTACCCGTGGCCTTGCCCACGTATTCCTGTTTTTTCCTATGGGAAAATTTAACCGATATAAAAATCTTATCACCTAAGTGAACCCATATCCTACCTGTATACCAAATTTCATCAAAATCCGTTCAATACTTTCAGTAGTGTGATTGACGGACAAACACCCGATCCGAACAAAGAAACTATCACATTTACAATATTAGAGTGATTGAATTCTGTGAAACACAAAAATATTGAATTGCAGATCGCTTCGTAAGAGCAGTGTGCGCTTTTCTTACAAATCGACGAGTTATAAAATTAATCTATCGAGTTGCTACTAACCCTTTAGGATATACCAAAAAGGAGTTCGAATTATTTCCATAGCGTCTGAAAAGGTTCATAATTATTCTAGTTCCTATACCGGACTCATTAACTAACCACGTGTTTCCAAAATTACTCACACACTTTAGCTTCACAAATACTAATTTCTATAGCAAACCATTCCAAGAATTTCTCAAGTATAAGTCAGTACGAGTAGATTACCAGGAATCAAATAGCTCTGTGTGGAACTGAGCCACCGAAGCGTGAAATATCAATCCAATTGTTGGCTGAGCAAGAAACAATCAACGCCACATTATTAGGATTGGAACTGGAGTTGAATGAATGAGTGACTTAGTTCATTGCAATGAAGGTTTAATTTCACTGTTCTTCGTGATCTAATTTATTGGTTTGAGGGAAGTCGATTATTTTACTTTTTACTAGACACATGGAAAAGAAAAAAAAATATTATGATCAACAATTCTGTAAACTCGAAACTGATCTGGCTTCATTTACAAAACTAAAAAGTATTGTAACTAAGATTTACAAAAATAATCATTGTTGAGAGTTAATGGAAATCCTAGGAATTTTTTTATTTACATTGTTTCCTGATAAAACTCACTACGATGATAACATAATTATAATTATGTATATTTACAATAAATAGTGCTATTTTTACATAAAAATAGCACCATTTTTAAAACCATACATTTTCGTGTTCAGTTTCTACTCCCAACATAAAATAAATTGTACGTACCAACGAAAATATTTCAGATTCAACGCAAACATAAAAGGATACCAATTTTAACAAAGTTTACGTTCACGACGATATATTCTTATAGACTTGCGTCAACAGAAATATCAAAGGTACACGTTTTTATACGTGACCTCTATAAGTCAGAGGTTCATCAAAATTCAGGTCACATCTTGCTTCTCGAGCAATAAAGAAGTACTGACATCTGCAGACTTATGGACGTCGTTCCTAAAGTCTTTTAACCGGAATAATTAGAGAATAAATAAGTAGGTTACCCATTTTGTCTTTAAGAGAACAGATCTTGTTAATTTATAGACGAAAAGCTATAATACGATTGGAATTCACAGAATGTGTATAATTATAATTACCAATCAGCAGTGCAATCATGGTAGTTTAAAATGGGTTATTACGTCTTTAGGGAACAGAGTGGAAAGTTCCCTGATGTCGGAAAACCCTCCCTCCGACCAGGTGAGGTGATCGTGCCTGGTGGGCTTTCTGCCCATCAGTTGTCCGTTGGGATTTTCTATCCGTGTTTATTTGCTTGTAAACTTTGCATGTGCGATGTAGGATTCTTGTGACGTCATCCATTGATTTGTGACGTGACATGTGTCGCCACACGTCTAACATTAAATCTATAACTCCATTCACTGTATCGATATTTCAAAGATACATAACAAAAACCTTTACACCCTTTCGATCTCTATAACCAAATTTAACAACTGCAAATCGTTCCCAAACGTGCCATAAACTACACTAGCGCCGTATCGCAATGATGTTCCACAAACATTGGAAAATATTATATTATTATTACCTTCATTCCGCTGTAGAATCCTCCCATGAGAGCCATGGAGGCTATGAAATAAGCGACGGCGGCAAACCGATCGCAGCCCGCATATGACGCCAATATAATACATATTGCGGGGCCGGTGGCAGCTGAAACATATTACAAGCAACTTATGAATCGTGCCGCAGTAATAGAGAACTATTCCAAAGAAACACGTAGAAGTCATTTGTGTGAATGGGGAGGAAGCGATTGTTAGTGGCGTTTGGAATGTAGTTTCTTTGAATATGTTGTATGAATTTTAATGATAAATCACGAGAGATTTCGTATGAAATTCAGTGAAGGCTTTTTCAGATCCTATCAAATTATGAATTGAAGTTGGACTCTAATCATAAAAAGAGGTGGTATAGTTTTGAAAATCCTTTTTCTAAGGATCCATAACATTTAAGATTTTTATAGATATAACAACGTCTATTTCTAGATAACACATAACTTCACGCCTATTATCCCCGAAGCGGTAGGCAGAAGTGCGCTTTATGGCACTTAATGCCACTGTACAATGTAACACCCACTTTTCACTATTTATGTTATGAGTCCCATGTAATATCCCTAGATTAAATAGTTAATTGCTGCATTTCTGGCGCATGAGATCGTTTTACTCAAAAAATTATCTGGTGTCTATGCACAACAGCGTTATTACTAAGAAGCAGTTCTTTTGTTTCTTTTGCACTAAAAGTGAGAAAAAATAGAAATCCAATTACTTTTGCAGTACCCAATTACGGAGCTCATAGGAGAATGGTTCCGAGTCAATAGCTAAGAAAATTATTCTTTTCTCTTTGAGTTTGCAGACCAAACGTTGACGTTATAAAGTCAAGTATTCTTTAATGAACCTTCCTGAGAGTAGAATTAAATATTATTGTATGTACTTACAAACACTAGTATTTTGCTACTTATATATTACTAGCTTTTACCCGCGACTTCGCTCGCGTCACAAAAAGATAGAAAGTAGTCTATGTGACATATACCAATAAATACAGCGCCATCTATACCAATACTTTTGTTTTCCCTCGGGAATATCAAATTTTTCCGGGATAAAAAGTACCCTATTATTTAATCCAGACTTCTAACTTTACGTCTGCAAAAATTCAAAGCAATCGGTTTAGTATAACTACTAAACCGATTGCTTTGAATTTTAAATCGGCGTGAAAGCGGAACAAACAAACAAACAAACTCACTTTCCGATTTATAATTTTAGTAAGGATAGAGAGCTTTGCGTTCTTATTGTGATTACATTTTAAAAGGAGCTTTAAATCAAAGGCAATAATACCTATAGTCGTATGAATAATTCTTCCAGTCTTGATAGTGTGCCAATCCCTCTTAACACAGACGTCACACACCCATCCGAATATAAAGGAGCTTATCCACATAGCAAGATATGGGATAGCAGTTAAAGTTCCAGTGGCTGCAATGTTGAACTTTAGTACATCTGTCATGTATTTTGGAAGATCTGTCACCATTGTATAGTATCCCCAATCGTGGCCCACCTGGAGAAAATAATAATGAATTATTTTTAATCTTTTAAAGAAAATTTATAGTAGGAATTTTAATAGGTAAATAGATTTTTAAAAGGAATGATATATACTCGTATTTCTTATAATACCTATGTGTAGAGTAATTTTGAGAACATTTACTTTTAGAGTATTTAAACTGTCAAACACCGCGAGGACACCGGTGACCGCAACCTATTGTTCATTAATTGTGTCTATAATGACGGTACTTAAATGGTTAAGACGTAAACGTAAAATTTTGCTCCCTAAAGGGAGCAAAATTTTTATATGACATGCAGTGAGTAGATGTGAGAAGTGGTTTTGCTCAGCAGTGGGCTATAGACTGTTGATGAAATGATGAGATAAAAAAAACAAATATTGATTCAATACAGAGTTTCTTACTTGCGTACTAAATAGATGAGTTGACTTTAAAATACGCTCTTGTCAATTAATTGTCAAATGAATTACACTAAACTAAATTCTATCCTTTCGTATACACTGGCAGTATAGTCAACAATACAGTTTTAAAGACTCGGTTGCCAAAAAAGAAAAAAAAAGGAAAATTCTATCTTCACAATAATAACAAACACAGAAAGTCTAATATAGAACTATACATCTAAACATGACTATCTTCTACACAACAGTTGGTCTAATTAATTTTCTCTGTGAGAATAAGCAAGCGAGCCTTTATTACGTAAACCTTTTATTATTATCCAATTAGTAGAACTATGTGAAAGTGCTTTGTTCACAAGTCCTCGTGCGCGAGGCCGGTGAGTGTAAACAGTTAATAAACAGTAGTTTAATACTAGGTAATGTTACATTCATTTACAGTTTTAATTATGTTTCCTTAGACCAGTGATCAGAAGTACGACTGCTTAAAGTATGGGTTTCAAGTTTTCTTCAGAATTTAGGTGTAATGGATAAATAGTATTGAATTACACACACTCCATAAAAATTCTTGAAATTACGCCCAATTTAATAAGTTTTTTTAACGGAATTTCAAAGAAGTACATACTTAAGCAATCATGCCCTACTCAGTTTTAGAAATTGTACTATCATCACCATCATCAGCCTATAAGTGGCCACTGCTGACCACGTTTGCTCAATGCGTGTAATTTACGTAATTTCAAACTTATAATTACATATTATAAGTCCAGTTTTCCTCCAGTAAATAATCTTAGAAAGTACAAATGACTTGAAAAAATTCACATTGGTCCACCACGACTACTAGACGCTGTATAGCATTTGTGTAAAATAACAGGTGTAATAACGATATGGAATATTGATTAAGTTCTCAACAAGACAATATTTACGATGTTATAGAAATAACCCTTATAAACGTCTGCGAAAACCGATATGGATAGTCTAAGCCCCAATTATGTGAAGACAGGTGACACCATCGTACACCATAGCCATTTGGTTTACCCTTTCTGTAACAATATGTCATAGAGGGCAAATCGCATACCTATATAGTTTGCCCTTTTGTATATTATGTGATAACTGTTGATCCATATAAAATATTGACATTCAACGGCAACCTTCATTATCAACTTGGAAAATACCAACAAAAACTAAAGGGTTAAAGTATAATGACGTAAAAGAAACTGTTATGAATCATAATTAAAGTAATAAATAATTTATTGTTATTGAACATGATAGGAAAGATGTAAAAAGTTAATAATTCTTTAGTTTTTGTAGTCAATAAATAAGCAAGAAAAAGATGGGCTGTTCACCCAGTTTTAACCCAAATACAGCTAAGTTTAACCTGAATAACAAACAATTGGATTGTAATGCACAATGAATATCACAAGTAACATTTTTATAAGGACTGAAAGTGGATTGAATAATAAAAAATATCTAAAATGCGAACCGAAATAGCATCTATGTAATTTCGTGGTACACCATTGATTGTTTTGTAGAATTTATGGTTAGGAATTTCTTGGAATTTATTGATACTTACAGCAGCAAACAATAATGCCCATACAGGCACACTCCTCACAATAGCCTTCCAAGGCACAGGGTCCCGTACACTCTTCGTATCAGCGCTGGTCACCGTCTCATTCAAGTACTTCAGCTCTTCCTCCGAAATATAGGGATGTGTGTTTGGCGTACTGTAGCATAGGATACTCTGGAATGTAAAAGTTATTTATTAAAATAGAAGTTCATAAAATTTTCTTTCACTGAAAGTTCATAATATTTCGGGTAGGTTATGGTAATGCTGATTTGGTTAAATTCATTTTAATAATGTGTAAAAGAGAATGACAAATCGTTCATTTTAATATAAATATAAAAGGGAATCATGAAGTTGTAGATAACATAGACATAAACTGCGAGTAAAACTTAAGTTTAATAATCAGTGACCTTAATAATTAAATTTAAACCTTTGTAATAAACTTTAATTGCCAAACTACCATGCAGTTGCATGTAGTTAGATTAAAATTTATTATTGTTTCACTACTAGTTCTTGTTAGCAATTACATATTAAGAATTTTAACCACATTAAGTTTAATTGCATAGAAAAATTCAAACACAACACATTTTTTGTGACTATTACTTTTATGTGACGGTCATATCCGGAGCGTGTAAAAAAACAATATTGTTTCAAAGACTTCAAATTTAAGCAGAAATAATCACTGCTTCCCAGTGAACTATATATTTTTTTAATGGAATAGGAGGCAAACGAGCAAACGAGCAAACGGATCACCTGATGGTAAGCGATCAGCGCCGCCCATGGACACCCGCAACACTAGAGGAGACATAGGTGCGTTGCGGGCCTTTTAAAAAAGAATACGCTCTTTTCTTGAAGGGTTAAAGGTCGTATCGGTTTGGAAATACCGCCGACGACAGATCATTCCACAGTTTTGTTGTGCGAGGTAGAAAGCTACGTGAGAAGCGCACAGTTGTGGCCTGCCAAGTGCCAACCATCTATATAGTAGGGATGTATATATTTAAGTTGTAAAAAAATATCAAATTCAGTGCTCATAGTCCTTTTAGATACGTATCTAGTATCTACTACATAGAGTTATAAAAAAAATGAATTTACTTACCCAAGCCAAAAACCACAGTATTCCAAAGCATCCGAAGAAGTAGAACACATTAGCCCAGTCCCCATCTCCAGCCATCAGGAAACCAGACATGAAGGACCCGAAGATGTTACCGATTTGAGCTCCTCCGAAGACCAGAGCACCTTGTCTTGAACGCTCATGAGGTGGAACCCATCTCGCTAGAACTATCATCAAGGCAGGCATTGTGGGACCCTGGAACATGTGGGAAAGAAAGTTTAGAAAAATTTTAGCCTTATTGATCTATTAATACGCTAAACACAATACTGTTTGTCCAATTATTGTTTGAAATCCCTAGTCCAGAAAACAAAAAATACTCACTGTTCTTTAAGAAGTCTGGTTTTTAGCCTAGTCAAAACATACAATATTGAACTATGCTTGTTACATTTGTTTTTTTTAAGAAAACGTTGCCCATACTGGGGTCTCTAGAACATACAAGTTCATATACAAATGGCACCCAGATCCGAAACAATAATTTGTGGATCACATAAAGAGTTACCCCGTGCGGGAATAGAACCCGCTGCACGTTGCACAGCAGTCGGTTGCCCAGCCATCTCACCAACCGTGAAGTCAAAACGAGATTAAATAATTGTAATCCATTTCAATATCTTTGTTCTACATTGTAACAAAAAGAAATATTGTCAATAAAAGTGCAACAAAAAAACCTTGAAATGCATTCGTGAGAGGGAAGGAGACACGATAGAACAAGGCTGTGGCTGCATTTGCACGATTTAACAGCCAATCAGTCACTTGTCAATGAATTTTAATAATAGTAATCTGCGAATCCTGGTACACGCGCTCAATTCCACGATTTTTGATTGACACGAACAAAGGACGTTAGGATGACGTTGAAACAATAACTTTTATGATTTGTATTTAGTTTGTGTAACAAACAACCTGCATGTAACTTTGTTTATATTTTTATATAACTATCGTGAGAAATACTAAATTAACTGAAATCGCTGGTTACTTACGTGAATATACTGAGAAAAGCTGTACTAGTTTCGAGCAGCTCACTGTGAGCTGCGCGACGTCGCCGCGACGGCGCACGCTGCTCATGAGGATGAACACCTCTGTGGTTCGAAACTAGTAGAGCTTTTCTCAGTATATTCACGTGAGTAACCCGCGATTTTATTTAACTTTGTTTGTAGCTCAACATTATGAAAAAAATTGCTATAACACCATCTAAATTATCGGTAAAAAGGAGCCTACCTTGTACCTATGTGTTAGTCTATTTCCAGATCATCTATCCGTCAAAATTTGTTCAGGTCTTTCCCGTAGTTGGTACGTAAAAGTATAACAAGCATACGTACCTGGAGCCTCAGAAACTTTTGCATTTCTAAATATGAGTAGAATTTTCTACAATAATTACAGGGTTTAAACTATGTTTAAAACCTTTGTGAGACAGACTAAAATAATGATTATGTTTTCGGTTTACTCGCGTAACTAGGTACCGTACGCAGACAGTCGCGCGTCGTGGAATGCTGCTCATGAATATGAGCCTCTAACATGGCTTGAAACTAGTCGAGTTCCTCGTCAAACGGTTACGTGAGTAAACCAAAAACATAATAATTAATTAGGTTTAAAACTGTTATACGAACAAGACCCACCATATTATATATTTTAACAAAATTACCGGCTAAAAACAGTTACAAAAACATGTTAAATATTTTAACAAAATAAACTGATATGACTACAATAAATCTGTCTCATTGTTCTTAACGTCATTATTTTAGCGTCACAGTCATTCATTGTTTATAAATACTTTGTTAAAATATTCACATAAAAGACGTTTTTACTGGACATGTTTTTCCTAATCTTGTTCATTTGCAAACAATAAAATTGCTACGGTAGTCGCATGGTTGGTTCCAAATTGAATGAAGAGCTATATATTTGTGTATAATGTGTGTACGCGATCGTAGGAATGCGAATTATAATGGCTGTCCTGAAATTTTAATGGCGTCTTGTTTTTATTGTTAATGTATTTTTATTTCTTTATAATTATGTTAAATTTAAATTGCATATTGTAATTTTATTGTTCAGTCATTCATAAATGTTACCGATTCTATGGATAGTGAATAGGTATTATTATTCACAAAGATGGGTATCATTCACTTAGTTATTTTATGATATTTACGTCTTTTGTACAGTTGGCATCATGCAATGGAACACGTGGCTTTCCGAGGATTTCCCACACAACAAAATTGATTTTCCTCAGGTATGAACTCATTAGGTGAGAATGTAGCATTCTTTTAAGTCTTGACTGAATTTTATGTGCATTTTATTATTGCAATCACGTTTACTGACATTTGAAAAGAGTTACAGAACTTTAAGTGCTTACTCTGAAGTCAGAGTAAGTACTTAAAGTTCTGTTAAAAAAAAAAGAATTTTGAAGCATTGTATTAAAGTTAATACAATGCTTCAAAATTCTTTTTTTTATGGATTAAACCTGTATGCCCATGGACACTCGAAATACCAATGCGTTACTGGCTTTTTGGGGATTAGGAATTAGAGGATTGTTGGGAATTCGGGTGTTGGGGAGGAGGCCTCCGATAACCTCACTCACATGACGAACGAAACACAACGCAAGTGTTGTTTCACGTCAGTTTTCTGTGAGGCCATGGTATTACTCTTGTCGAGCCGGCTCATTCGTGCCGAAGCATGCCTCTCCCATACTTAACTGTAATATTGCATCGCAATAGGATGAGTATTGATAATATAAAGTTAGTCAAAAAATACACATCCCGATTATATCTTAGACGAGACACAAATCGACGACATATGACATATTTTCCTAGGTTTACCAAACCAAATCGTCAATCGTGACGATTAAAAATTTCAATTGCCTTTTCTAGGTATCTATTTTTATTTTAGCTGGTATTTGTTTTACTTAGCACTACTATTCTATCTACTAAAGACACTTACTTCACCCATTCCTTGCAGTACTCGAAGAATGAAGAGCCACGTCGCTCCACCAGCTTTGACAACCACAGGAGTCAGCAAAGTGAAGATGGCAGTACTTAGAAGACCAATGCCGAGCGTCCATTTGCCTCCGTACCTTTCAGCCAGGTAGCCTCCAGGTACATGGGTGATAGCGTATCCATAGTAGAATCCACTGAGGATCAACCCTTGGGTCGATTCTGACCAGTCGAATATCGCGTACTGAAATTAAAGGATTTTCGTCAGTATATAGAAAATTGAGGTAATTTTGAGTGAGTGAATCATATATTGTTCTATCTACAAATAGGGTATTGGCCTACTAGTTTTTTATCCTACGTCGTGAAATCTATTTCATTTTCGTCCCGAAGTAAATTAGGTATGTATTTGTAATACAATAGTTTGACAAAGAAATCAAATAGTTAAAGCAAAAAATAACTGGTGAAACATTGCAAAAAGCAAACTTCGAAAGCGCATACGAACTCATAGTACTTATCAAAACATTACGCCATGTAATTCTGGAAAAGGTATTTCCAGCCGGGTGGCACGTGCGATGCGAATAGTGCCTACAAATATACATCTAGGGTTTCATGTGCGTATTTCCATAAAAAAAATATAAACTAAAAGAAATGACATCTTTGTTGAAACTACCCCTTATGGCAAATTGTTTTGCCGCGGAATAGATTTCATGGTGTATAGGATAAGCCAGTAAACAAGCAGACGGATCACCTCACGGTAAGCAATTAGCGCTGCCCATGGACACCCGAATGATGTAAAAAAAAGAGACAGTTCACAAACCAATTAATTATTGACTAAGGAAACTGCCCAATTATGATGTAATATAATAATTAAAATACCATTAAGTGTTAATATTAATAGTATAATAACGCATATGACATTTTAACAAGAGTCCATTTAAATTGCAATCAATCAAAGTGATATTTTGTTTCCACTTACTTCGCTTAGATTAATTGGAATTTATACCTATTAACTATTTTTTGTTAAGTTCTAAAGTCAAAGTCAAAATAATTTATTTCAATTAGACCAGGATGGCACTTTTGAATGTCAAACAACAAAAATTTATAAGTGAAGCTAATTGCTCATTCCAAGGCGTAGATTCCTATGGAGAAGAACGAGCAAGAAACTCCATACTCTAATATAAAATATCTATCTGGTAGTTTCTATTGTGCATTACAATATATAAATATTGTTCCTTCGTGACAATTGCTGTATTAATTGACCACCATTAAATTTAAACAATGAAGTATAAAGCAATGATTTGTCCTAGCATTGAAGGTGATTGGTTAGCTACTGGTTGACTATCATTGTTTTTCAGTTTTGAAATATTAATCTATACCCTCATCATCATCAATACCTGAATAATTTCGAAAAAATAGTTTAACGTAGGTACTGAATTACATTGTACAGTGGTATAATGTGCACCTCTGCCTACCCCTTCGAGGATAAAGGCGTGATGTTATGTATGTATGTATGAATAATACCATTTGTAAATTTCCGGTCTATGTTTATTTATTTGTGTACAAGTTTAGCAAAATCCACTAGGGAACTCGTGGAATTGCAGCTCTCTGGAAAATTCACCGTCGCTAGTGAAAATTAAATAGCAATTTCGCTCCAGCAATCTCTTAACATCGCTTCTACGAATTACATTTGCGTGTAGAAATATTTACAAAATGGAAGTTTTTTGATGTTTATTTTTAATTGAATGTCAAATTTTACCTTTGACAATTACGATTTAATTTATCAATTGTTTATCTATACTTATAATAAATCTGTAGAGAGGTCAATTCTGTACATGAAATATATTTAAAAAATAACTATCAAGGGGTGGTTAGGGATCGCTACTGATGCCAAAAATGCAATCAGTAAAATTTTTGTCTGTCTGTCTGTCTGTCTGTATGTTCGTTATGGAAACAAAAACCACTCGATGGATTTTAACGAAATTTGGCACAATTATTCTTCATACTCTTGGGGAGGTTATAGTATACTTTTCATTACGCTACGATCAATAGGAGCAGAGCAGTGAAGGGAAATATTGGGAAAACGGGAGAAGTTACTCCATTTTTTAAGCTTCCGTCGCGTGTGCTGGCTTATAGGTTAAAGCTACATATAAATCATGTATAACGGAAATATTCTCCTTAAAATTATATAAAAAATATTCCTCGACAGCATATGTCTATCTTTTATGGTTGACTCACAATAACACGTGAAACTCCCGATAGCTTAGCAATTCGGTGATTTCTGATTGTATTTGTCTACTCTAACGTTTACAATACTCATTCATAGACTTTACGCTGTAACTGAAAGGCCAATGGTTGAAATTAGCTTGACCCGATATTATAAATGAAAATATGTGAGTTTATGTGTATGTTTGTTACTCAGTCATATTAAAACCACTGAAGGGACCGGAATGAAATTCGGAACAGAGGTAGATTATGGTCTGAAGTGATACATAGGCATTTTACCCCTGGGATCGCGGGCGAAGCCGCTGGCAGAAGCTAGTTATTAGAATAAATCACTACAAAATATAAAACAAAGTCTATCCGTCGTGTGTCTTTTCCTATGTATGCTTAGATCTTTAAAACTACGCAACGGATTTTGATGCGGTTTTTTTAATAGATAGAGTAATTCTTAAGGAAGGTTTATATGTATAATACATGCATATTGCACCCGTGCAAAGCCAAGGTGGGTCGCTAGTTAATAATAAAATAGGCAGATGTATTTATAAGATACTGTTTTATTGGGTTCTTATACACACTCCTTAAAGTGTATAAAACATATTCTTGTTGAGATTATGTTACAAAATTGTGCAATGATAAAACGAAGTGGCGGATTAGTTGATAGTAATTCACATATTTTTATTAACAGAGATTTCGAAATAAATAAAGTAGATAGTGTAACAGTAAATAGAATTAATTTTATTGTTACAGGCTGGGCTCTGCTAAAACGTCCATGGTATCGACTTCTTAGAGTCAGGTTCGGGTATAAATATACTTCCCAATGTCTAAATTGGGTACTTTACTTTATCAAAAATAAATTATTTCGACTGTTCAATACAATCAAATATTCAAATATAAAATACTTTCATTAATAATTGATTTTAGACTGCCTCGTTTGCCGACTGGTCGCAAGTGTGACTGCCGGGCAAGGGGTATCGGGTTAGTTGCCGGGGTCGGGCAAAATATTACTGAGTTTAAAAAAAATCTCAGTAATAGCACGGAGTCTGGAATTGTGCCCCGTATATGACAATAGGCTCACCCCCAATTACAATGGGACTCATAACATAAATAATGAAAAGTGGGTTACACCACAGAACATATAAAGAAGAGTTACACTCTACAGTGGCATTAAGTGCCGTAATGTGTTTCGAGGATAAAAGGCGTGATATTACGGTATGTAAATAATTTACTCACCGGTCGAGAACTGACAGTCCCATTAGTGAAGTATTCGCTGTCATCAGGGCAAGCGTTGGGATCAAAATGCTGTTCTTCATCTCCTTTCGTATTGTTGACCATCTGTGTGACGGCCAGGTTGAGACATACGCGCATAGTATACGCGTTGCAGACGGCCAATAGACCCATGATACCCAGGACGTACCGCTGAGGAATCAGGAACACTGAGCAGACAAAACGAACTCATTTAGTTAGTTTTTGCAGACAATTTTGTAACTTACATTGTTAGATATAGAATTTATAATCTGTTAACAGACTGTGAACAGATGCACAATGAATAATATTTAAAAAAACAAATACTTTTTTAGTTATGTTGGTTAAAGATGTACACACGGCCACACATGAATCTATACAAAACCAGTTTATCCTGGTGTCGCGTCGCATCATCTTTTCGCACATTTAACGTTCAGTTTATACTGGTTATGTAAAGCTCGATGTGTTGCCGTGTGTACTTAAAGAAAATAATTCTCACTTTTCTGTTGGCACATTAGTTTCAATAATTTTAATTCTACGCTGCACGAATGAATACTGCACTTCACCAAAAGCAACGATAAAATAATAAATAAATACTGATTTTAATGTTCCACAATTGATGTAAACAAATTAAAACTATGGAACACCGGGGGCTCATAAGGGAATTGTTGAAATATCATTTTACGAACAAATAATTAAATTCTTGTTCAAACAAAGCGTCTTAGACGTATCAATGGGGTAAAGAAAAATATTGTATTGTTCAATTCTCCAATAAATTCCTCATACTTGAAGGTTTTCGCTTCTATTTCCCCAGACTCTCTAGTATATATGAGTGCACATCACGTTAATAAAACCAGTATAAACTGAGCGTGCCACGTGCAGAAAGATCATACAAAGCAGGACCGGTATACATTGGTTTTGTATAGCTCGATGTGTCTGTGTGTGTACCTACTTTCATACATATATTTGAACTAAGAAATTGAGTACGGAGCAAGAGTAGTATTCAATTGAATAACTCACAATATTCGCTTGAGCTTGGCTATGAAAAAGAAGCGTTGTGTTTATCTATTTATGTATATGTCTACGGTCTTGTCGTAGATCTTGTCTACGGAATTGTTTTTTTTTTTTTGCTTGTTGCCTTTTTCATTATACTAATTTCTATTTTCATTTAAATTTTACGTAAGATGACTATGATATAGAAACTCCCTCTATTATTATTTTGGATAAGTCAGAAGTGCAACTTCAATGAGCATCAGATTCAGGACAGCAGACAGTCATTTCTAATTCTCTAATTTTACGCTTGATTTTAACTCTTATTCAATTTTGACCTTGATTTTAACTCTTATACATATTATAAACAAAATAATTCAAAAGATACTTACGCCTCGCTATATTTTTCCTCCATCTTGGTAACATCGTCACAAATTTTCTTATTAACCGCTACTACTTTATCACCTGAAACCAAAAGGAAAACGAGATGAACAAACTGTACCTAGATACCACGTTTCTTAGATATTTATCTCTTTGAATGTCAAAATAAATAAGATATAAAATTTTATATGAATATTATCTCAAGAGGATAAACGTGAATTACATGAGACTAGCTGATGACCGTGACTTCAATCGCATGGAAATTTTGACGCAGGTTATGTATTTGTAGAAAAGTCATGAGTTTATGTGTATATTTTTTCCAGGATTATTTAAAAGTGTTACAGTATGGGCTAAGCTCACATGGGACTCATAACATAAATAGTGAAAAGTGGGTGATACATTGTACAGAGGCACTGAGTGCCGTAATATGCACTGCCTACGCCTTCGGCAATAAAAGGGGTGATATTATGTTACACTTCAAAACATGCAACCCGTGATTTGTCAGAATGTTTGCTTAACAAAACACTATAATTATTTATATAGTCACAGTCTAGAGGTAAATAGGTTTTAACAACTGGTCACCTACAAAGAGTTTAGTCATTTTGGATTCCTTATTACCTACGACATGGACAAACAAAACTTCATACTATAAGATACTTCAATACAATGTTATTATAAACTTTTTCAGCTATTGTAAATGTTAAATGTCAAGCAAATGTAATTTATAATGCCGATTCCGAGTCGCGGAGAACCTAACGGGTAACCGGGATGGGGTGGTTTTTAGTCAGTAAGAGTCTGACACTCCCTTCCGCCTCACCCAGGTGGGAGCAGTCATTCGATGATTTTCCCCCCTTAAAAAAAAGTAATTTATAATAAGCTAGTGACACCCCAAAAATTTGCAACGCCTGAAAAAGGCCGTTAAGCTGTGCCTGTTATTTCATAAAACCTGTATGTATTACCTTAACATGCAAATAAAGACTTTGAGTTTAAGCTATTCGTTGTAATAAAGCGCTACAATGTATATATTAAATACAGTCACGTGAATTTTATTATTTTGCATAAATATATTTTTCAGAGACGTGCTCACATTTATCTCATTATTACAGATTATGCTCGCTTTTCGCTTTTCTTGTCGCACGTGCTGTTTTATCATAGATCTGAACCATTTACGTATATGCCTCCTACATAATAGGTACAAAGTTGCCAATATGACAATGGTAAGAGGTACTATAAAGTAGACTGATACTATATCATCTAGTTTTTGCTTGTGGCTTTAATTGCTTCTTTAAGGGTTTCTTATTCTTCTTTATTCTTTCTATATGGGTTTTGATCATCAATTCAAGAAACCATTCATTCCTGCCTGTATTAATAAAATATTTTTTTTAATTATTGTACCCGTTTCGACATCAAAAAGGAAAAATACAAAATATATTTCTATTTACTTTCTTTTTTAAAAACTAGCAGTTTTAAATTGAATGCATTTTTGATATACCTAAATAATTATAAATTGAATAATTATTTTGATGATATTGATCATCCCTCTTATAAAGTTGTTTTGTATTCTATTCCATATGATGATGTTTTTAATTTAATTCAATATCAATAAAATGGTACACATATTTTTACCATCATAAATAGGTATCTGGCAAGGCATTGTGCCGAAACTAAATAGATTACATACGTAGTTTTAAAGGCATTATATTAATTATGTAATACTGCACAATGGAGTTTGCAACAATAAAAAATAACTATTACGTTACCTTCAAATATTTAAACGGCTGAATGGACATTGAGGTCATTTTTAACTCTTATTCTTTATCTTTATTGACTACATACCTCGTTGGTCGAGTAAGTCGCAAATGTTTGTCAATCTAGGGTTTTTTGTTGAGGACTAGCTAAGCCGGCAGACTTCGTACTAACTCAAAGGCGTTGTTTTTTTACTTCTCATCGTTTAAACCTTCCCTGGATTTCCATAAATCATTCAAGACCAAAGTTTTAGCGAGACTAAGGACCAGCAATTAATTTATATAGAGGTATATAAGATTCTTTATCTTTATTGACTAATTACCTCGTTGGTCGAGTAAGTCGCAATTTTTTTTCTGGAATAGGAGGTAAACGAGCAGACGGATCACCTGATGGTAAGCGTTCAGGGCCCCCTTGGACACCAAAGGAGTCACAGGTGCGTTGCCGGCCTTTTAAAAAGGAATACGCTCTTTTTTTGAAGGTTTGAATGAAATGTTTGTCAAGCGAGGGTTTTTTTATTAGCAATGGGTCGGCGTTAGGCCATTATCTCGCTTAATGGTAAACGACGATGCGGTCAATAATGGAATATGCCTACCTAAAACCAACCTATTCTCTTTAAACTTGAAGACGCTCAGGTCGTAACCCTTCAGTAAACACAGACTCTACCGAAGTCTTTCACTCTTTAACGGTTTGAGTGCGAAAACTTTTTTGTGGTATTGTGAATGTTTCCCAAAATTTCCCAATTTCCGAAATGTTAATAGATCCTTATATGACTTTCAAAAATTTTGTAAGGTCACTGATTACGGGGTTGTGCCCGTGTTATGCAAAAATAGGCTCACCCTCTAATATGTACTTGGGAATCATAACTAATGAAAAGTGGTTCTTAAAGTGTATAAATCCGCCTACACAAGTTTCTTTTTGTACTACGAATAAATAAATAAAATATAATGTATCTCTACTTCAGGGATTTTTTTCCGATGCCATAAGCCGGTAAATGAGCAGACACGGATCACGTCATAGTAAGCAATCGGCGTCGGCTATGGACACCTGGAAACCAGAGGCGTTACAAGTGCGTTACCGGCCTTCTGGGGATTAGGAGTTTGAGGATTGTTGGGACTCAGGGATTCGGAAAATTGGGGAAGGGGCGGGGGGTATTTGAGAATCCGGTAACCTCACTCACACGACGAAACATAACGCAAGCGTTGCTTCACGTCGGTTTTCTGTGAGGCCGTGGTATCGCTCCGGTCGAGCCGGCCCACTAGTGCTGAAGCATGGCTCTCCCACACTTAAAAGGCGTGACGTTGTTGTTATTGATTCTTTATTAATGTAATATACTGATCTATTAACCACTAACTATAAATCTGCGGTTTTGCTCGTAAAAATATAATTAAGCTGTCTTGTGGAATCTTTTGGATACTCAATTAAATAATAAGTAATTCGTAATGAGAAAATGATGAATTTAATCAATAGCTCAAATTGATTAACTATTTGTAAATATTTTTATTGGAAAATTTTATATTGTTAACTCTCTGTAAGATTATATTGTATTTAGTTCGTAGTCTATTAGACGATCATATTTTATTTAATTGTCTAAATCGTGATAATCCTCAGTTCATCATGAACTTTTTCATTTTTAAAGACGGATGTACAATGTGACGAAGTTCATTGCCACATTTGCTTTGAAAAATAAATACAATACTGTGTTTTTCAAGTTTAGGTTAAGACCATACATTGATTAAATCTAAGGCATAGCATACCTATAGCATGCCATACGCTGTGAAACTTAATTTACTTATATAGGCTTTGTAGGCAGTACCATAAAGCTGAAAATCTTCTGACGAAATCAGTTCAGTAACGTTGCTATAATAAAAATTCATCATGACTGAACAAAAATCTGTATGCCACTAGGCAAATCACTTATACCTTTGACGTTTAAAGGTACAAATAAAAACCGCCTTTATATCAACAAGATAAGATAGACATTTGAGGAAATGCCTGCACGTGTTTCAATATAGGCGTGCAGTTGTAAATTTTCTTATCAGACATCTCTTAAGATGTGTCATGACGCTCCTGTATCGGGCATAAATCTATATTAGGTCATCGTTCAAAGATTGATACAGGTGATAATGGCACATGGAGGAAAATTAACTTAAATATTGAAGATAGATGAACTTTCATGAATAAGAAAACATTAGTTTGTTTCTACACAGTTTTTATATTAATTGAGATTGTATTCAGAACTGTTTTAATGATTGATCTCTTTACTCATATGACTAGTTTTTAATGCTTTTTATCTCGAGGAGTAAAATTAGAATTCAAAGTCACTTAATGAGTCGATTCAGTTCAATGCCTGTCAAAGAGTTTAGCACTTGACACAGTTAACTGACGAAAAGTTCATTCTATTTTTCAAATAACAAAACTTTAAATAACAGCAATAATAATGATCTTTTATAAAATAGATATTCAATAAATACTTATAGAAAAGTGTATTCGTATCTACCTAAACGTAAAGTTCCATACAGTTCCATTCATCATCATAGACGTATCATTAATATTCTCATGTACATATATGAGTAATTACGACTTCACACCAAAGTTTGCCAACCAATTAATATTCCAGAATCAAACAGAAATGTAGCGGGCATGTAATCAAAGCCCGTTGATTACCAAAATTGTGCAAACGTACTAATGGATCGTGCGGTAAAGTTCTGACGTTCGAATACACATTTCAAATATACATATGTATGTATCTAACATTTTTAATTACTTACATACCACTTGTATGTTGTACAGACGTACTAGTCGTCTCAAAGAGACATCAGACCACCACAGATGGGCCCAATAGGGCTGATGCCCGATACGGAGCCGCGGAAGGCCTAACGGATTGCCAGGGTTCCGGCTCGAAAACATATTCCGAAATTTGATTGTTATGAATTGTAATATTATTTTAAGATATATACTTGGAAGCAAAAAACGGGTCCACTAGCCACAAAAACTTGTATAAGTGTAAAAAAAATATTTTTATCATCATCATCATCTTCATCCTATGAATACCCACTGCTGAACAAAGCCTCTTCTCACACGGAGAAGGTTTGAGCATTAATCACAACGCTTGCACAATGCGGGTTGGCGATTACAAACTTATAATTAGACTAGCGGACCCAACAGACGTTGTCCTGCATATAATATAATAATAGGTACAAATAAATAACATAGATATCGGCTGCAGAGCCATCTGCCGGGCTGATTTGTGAATCTAAACCATTCCCAGATCCCCTTGAACACGCACAAAAAATTTCATC